TGGAGTACAGTGGTGTGATTATAGCTCACTGTGGCAAGCTCAAATTCCTGGGGCTCAAAGACTCCCTACTGTCTCAGCCTCCTAAGTCATTGGGATTACAGGCACATGCCACTATTCCCATCTCTGCCTTATTTTTAAGCCTTCATTTCATTTCTTGTTGACTGCACATTTTCTGTAACTCAAACAGTGGTGGATGCTCAGTGACTGTTTTTTGAATGACTGATTCAGTCGACAGGTAGCTCTTTTAATACTTCTTCTAGTATCATTAGAATTTTCTAGCACAGTAGGGTGAAGGGCAGAACAAGGGCATAATAAGTTTGCATAGTTTGCAGGAAGTGCCATCTGGTTTCATGATAAAGAACAGTCAAAATAGGTATACGTGAAAACTACTTTATCATTATTATGCATAGAATGACTATGGAGTCAGCAGGGTCTATTGTACCTATGTGGATGTATGGACATGAATTTGTATTCCATCCCCTTTCTAGATATACTGTAAAATAATAACAACACTTTGATATTTTTTCCATATTTTTTGACTGGTAGTCCCTAATTTTTCCTAGTGGAAGAACACTGTTGTGGGAATCGGGTGAATTCAGTCTAACTCAGGCTTTGCTATTCATTACCTGGATCACATTGGGACCTTACAGCTTGGTTAGGGTACTGATATCCTCATACTTAAAGTATGTTTAGAAGAGTAAAAGTTGAGCCAAGTTAATTTTTAAGATAGCCAATATTTCCTCATTATTTAAACTACTTTCAAGGCTTTTTTTTTCTTGCCCAGGAAAGCACTGTTCTCAGGTATAAAAAAGACACCCCCCACTTTTGCACCAATCCAGAAAAAAAAAAGACACCCCCATTGTGGCACCCACCTTTCCTGCACTGCTTGATTATCTGGAATTAGTTCTCTTTACTCTGTTCTGTGTCTGTCAGCTGAGGACAGGAAAACTCAGTCTGGAAATTTCAGATGTTAAAACAGGGAAGAAATTTGGAGCAGGGTACCCACTCCATACCTCTTTATGTCTTATACTAAGGATTTTGCTTCTACGTTGAAGATTAGAGAGACTTCAGAGTATTATTTTGCCCTCACAGATTTCTCTGAGTCATAGCATTTCTTTCTCCTTTGCTGATCTCATAAAAGCCCTATATATTCTGCCTCTACAACCCTTTAGCTTTTCCCAAAGTCTACCCCTGATCTATTGTTTGTCCTTTCAGAGGTTGGGATTTAACAGATTCCTTCACTGCTTATGTTCCTCTGATGAGATTTTGGTCATCTTTAGACCACAGCCCTTGGCAAATCTACCTCTGGACTCTTGGTCTAGATAGAACTCACTCAACCAGAAAGTTGGGGTGAGGTCACTGCTTATAAGAGAATACTCACTTTCTTTCTCAGTTTGATTTTTGATATTGTGTCTTGGTAGCACTGTATTCTCAAGTGCTTTTAAAGTGCACTGACCCTGGGCAGCAGTCAGAGTACCGTTCTCTTTGTGGTTGAGACAGCTAACCATGTAAAGACATGTCACTGGGGGACTTTCACCCTTTTTCCTTAGCCAAGAGGTTGGACAGGAGAGACAAACTTACAGAGTGCTAGAGGAAGAACTTAGCAGAGCATCCTGAACGTAGCAGAAAATGGTCACTTAGCTGGGTAGAACCAGAGTAGTGAAAATGAACTAATAGCCTGGATCTGAACAGTATCACTGGAAAGTAATCTTAGATTAAGGTTTTTACTCTGGTTTACACTAAGGTTGTGTGTGTGTGTGTGTGTGTGTGTGTGTGTGTGTGTGTGTGTGTGTGTGTGACGGAGTTTCGCTCTTGTTACCCAGGCTGGAGTGCAATGGCGCGATCTCGGCTCACCGCAACCTCCGCCTCCTGGGTTCAGGCAATTCTCCTGCCTCAGCTTCCTCAGTAGCTGGGACTACAGGCACACGCCACCATGCCCAGTTAATTTTTTGTAGTTTTAGTAGAGACGGGGTTTCACCATGTTGACCAGGATGGTCTTGATCTCTTGACCTTGTGATCCACCCGCCTCGGCCTCCCAAAGTGCTGGTATTACAGGCTTGAGCCACCACACCCGGCCTTACACTAAGGTTTTAACTTAAGGATTCCCCACTTGAGAATAAAGCCTTCGACATTAGATATCTTACCTGTTTGTATGCTGTGGTAATAGAGAGTGTGGGTGCAGGTATTGGAGCGATGTGTATCCTACAGCTGTGTTTCCAGAGCTGGGCAAGAGCCCAAAGACAGTATGAAAAGGGATGTTTATCATCTAAAGTGGCCATTTCCATGCGTCTCAGGGTAGACATTATTCCTTGGTTCTTATTTTATGACTTAGGACAAAAACAACAGTTTATATTGTTCACATTTCCCTCCCTACCTGCTATAATTAAACCTACTTTGGGGTTGTTATATTCGTTGTTTGTCACCCATAAAATATTTCCTAATGCAGCAGGATCACTCACAGTCTTAACACTTGGATAATCTATTAAGTACCCACTTATAAAATATTAATAAAATAAAGTACCACTGTATTTAGTTCAACTGGTTATTTTTAAATTTTTACCACTGCACATTTAGAGTGGAACCTAACCATTGCTTTTCAGTTCAAAATTCTTGTGAAGGGGATTTGAAATTACATCTTAAGAAAAAATGTTCTAGTTATTGGGTAAGACTGTGCAGATATCTAGACTATAAAGCAAAAGCTGGAATTTTCTTTAAAATGTGTTCGTTTTATGTGCTGACAGGTTTTACCAACCTCGCCAGACAGAAGGGATCATTTAGAAAAATAAGAATTCACTGTCTTTTTCCCTGTGGGCCATCCCTGACAGCCAGTCAAGTATTTCTTTGGTGTTCTGGGACCCCAGTGATGTCCCATGTGAGCTCATAAACAATACTTTTAATTTTCCTTTTTGTCTCCTTCCCTGCCACCCCCACCTTTGGAGGTCATTCCTTGGGAAGCCACTTGAATCCAGGGCTCCTCACCATTGCTCCTTTAGCTCTGAGGGCACAGCGATGCCCATGTTGGGGCTTTCCTGGAGCTTCTAAGTGTGAACCTTTAAACCACCAAAGCAGTGGTGTTATGTTCTTGGAAGAATGCTTACAGTTTCACTCTAGAGAACTAGAACTATGCGTGTTCTTTACATCTCACTGACTCCTGAAAAGCTATTCCTTTGGCTTCTTTTATCTGCCTTTCTCCATAGAGACAAATAGCCCTAGAAACAGTAGGATTAGGAACCAGTTATCTAAAGCACTCTTTCCCCTTGGTGGTCTCTTTCAGATTCCTGGCAAAAATTTTCCCACTCCAGGACCAAGTACTGACCAACCAAACAAACCACGGAAGACCATCTACCACCTCATGAGCCATGCCACCCAGACATTTCTGAATCTCACTTTAAGTTCAGCCTAGAATGTTGATTATATTTACCTAGAGAGATACCTTATGGATTACAAGGATTTCCATCTAAAGCAATTCTCTTCTGTTCCACTCACACACTCTCACCTCAATCTCCAGTCAACAGATCCCAGAACCTAGCCAGGCTATGAACATAGAAAAAAGCAAAACACCAGATACATGGCATTAACTAGCTTTTACCATTCTTGTAAATATCTGAGAATGATCCAGTCATTTTCATATATTTCATATGAAAAAAGCAACTGCCTAACTTAGCATCCACTTTTGAGAGTGAAAGGGGACTTTATTAGCATTTATAACCAGATGATAAATATCACCATAAATATGCATAAGTATGACATAAACAGTAAAACCTTATTTTTACCTTGTTTGCCTACTTCCACAACCACATAATATGTCTTGATTATTACTGTTACATATATGTATTTTTAAAGTCTAGATTCCATGCCCATAAGTTTCTTTCTGAAATCAGTTATTTAGTGGGTTTATGCTGTCTGATTAATACTAATTTTTTTTTTTTTTTTTTTGAGATAGAGTCTCGCTCTGTCATCCAGGCAGGAGTGCAATGGTGGCTCACTGCAACCTCCACCTCTGGCTTCAAGTGATTCCCCTGCCTCAGCCTCCTGAGTAGCTAGGACTGCAGGCACGTGCCACCATGCCCAGCTAATTTTTTGTATTTTTAGTAGAAATGGGGTTTCACCATTTTAACCAGGATGGTATCAATGGCCTGACTTCATGATCTGCCCACCTCAGCCCCCCACAGTGCTGGGATTACGGGCAGGAGCCCCTGCACCTGGCTTTAGTATTAATTTTTAATACTAACTTGATTTTTTTTCTTGTCCCCACCAGCTAGAAATATTTTAATTTGTATTTTCAAATGCAGATGCAGAGTTTGCAGGGTGGTACAGAAGCCATAGCCCGATTGGATCAGTTAGAAGCTGACTATTATGACCTGCAACTTCAGTTGTATGAAGTACAGTTTGAAATCTTGAAGTGTGAAGAGTTACTATTGACAGCGCAACTAGAAAGCATCAAAAGACTTATATCAGGTATAGTGTGCATTTAACTGCATAAGTTTACAAAAGATTGAATACGTAACAAAATGCATATGGACACCAGATATGTTTCTTCTGTTAAGATGTTAAAAAACTTGCTTTTTATAGGGATAGAGTTGGTGGGGGTGATGTCTAGCATTTATTGAGCACTTACTGTTTGCCAGATACTGCTAAACACTTTGCATACATTCATTCTATGAGGTATATTGAATAACAATCACCATTTATAAAGAAGCTTGAGAAGTGATGGCTTTGAGATACAGAGCCAGTAACTACATTAGAACCCTGTTCTGTCTGAACCCACAGTCCATATTCTTTTTTTTTTTTTTTTTTTTTTTTTTTTTTTTTTT